GTAGTTGTAGCATTTTTAAATAGGCCATTTTATTAAAAATATTCGGCGTTTGGTTGGCACACCTCTACAGGTATGTGAAATGTCAGCTTTGACTTTGAACAGAAATGCTGAGGGATAATTCACGTTTAGCTTCACATCTAGTACGTTTTATGAAAAAATTACGCGTGGCATAATATTTATCTTTGCTCTTTCTCTTTACCGGTAAAATTAATGCACAACAGTATTTTTTGATGGTGATTACAGCTGTCCTGTTTTGAAGACTATTAGCTCTTTTTTTTATAGCAATTTTGTAATAAAAATCTGGTATGTTTCCGGAACTTATGTGAAATGCAATTTTAAGTTTCGAATTTCAACGAGCTGTTGAAAAAACTGATTTTTAGTTTTGAAAACGCAGTGCACTTCTTCGAGCGATCAGATCCTTTACGCAGTGTTAAACTTTTTCATTTTCTAACATTGTTTGGGTAAGTTTTGGTTTTTTTACAATACTCGCCTTTTTTTACGACAAGATTTTCGTGTTGTTATTCGCTGGCGGGCTTGATGGATCATAAAGTTTTGACCTTTTCAAACGTACTTGGAGTTAGAGGCTTTTCAAATAAAAAAAGAAACTGTATTTAGCTGAACAATTAAAAGATTTTGCAATGAAACATTTTGGTTTTAAAAAACTCAATAGGAATGTGTGGTTATTTGATATTTTCCTGCCAGTGAGTCAGTTTATATGAAGTAAAATGTAGTAATATTGCCAAAAAGTCTGTAGATTCAGTCTAGAATTTAAATCTAATATAAATTTTTAATATAAAGATTTAAAAAGGTTTGACAACAAAAAAGTAATAGTGATAATGAAAAGACAAAATTTTTGGATTCGGACAAGTTGGAATTATTCCGAAAAGAAAAAAGGACATAAAATTCTTCATCTTGTATCTAACTCAAAACTTTATAATTTTATTTATGGTTTTGTGTTATAAGACCTGTTATTGTTTATTTCTTTAATTTTTTTGATATTAAAAGTCACAAAGTTTTGAGGGTCAAAAATTTGAAATTTTTGTCGAACTTACATTCTTCATTTTTCTGCTTGTAAACATTATTATTTCAAAATATTACGTAACTAAACAGGAAGCGATTTCTCTTTCATTAGAACTTGAAAATGAGACGACTTTGTTGTGTTTATTCTATCCGATACTTGAAATTCCACTTAAGCATCAATTGAATTTTTCGCGCAGTAAAACAAAAGTTTCGCTTCTAATTGAAACCGTCTCACTGATTTTTATAGATGAATTCCTAGAGGTCGAAACAAGTGTCCTACTGCGGTTAGAATCTGTCAAGCAAAATGGGGATATAAGGGGTATAGCAGTTTCATTTTTAACTGCATATATATTAGGCTGAAAAATTCACCATCTGTGAACGATCGCTCATCTCTCATGTCGCACAGTACTCATTTCTCTGATTTCTAGTCACATGGTGGATGTCAAAGAGAGTTAGTAGAAAATATGCTGGAGACAATAATTTTGCAAAGTCATCTCAGCAAGAGGAAGAAATCAACAAACCCTTTTGTCTTCTCGAACAGATAATGCTGACTTTCTTCTCTCCTCATAGTGTATTTCGCTACTGTCGTATGGGCAGCTTTCTTTTGACATGATTTTTTTCCAAAACTTCTTAATTGTTCTGCTCACCTGCAGAAGCGTGGTATGTTAGGATAAACTTCCAAATAATCAAACAGGCGATTCCAGTCGTCACATTGAAAGCTCCTGTAATTAAATAGCGCCTTCCAATTAAATCATTTTGTTTTAAGCGAGCATTCGATTTAGCCGCTTAAAGTCACCCTGCTCTCTGTAACTTACGTTGCTTTTGAAATAGGTTTTAATTCAAAAAATATACTGTTCTTTTCGCGTAAAATTCTTTGTAATGTATTGCGATAACTGTGCAGCTGACTCCAGTTCAGTCGACGAGTATGTCGATTTCACGCTTTACAGGTAAATTTTAAAATTCCTTTATGTAGAAAAGAAACAGAATGGTTCACAAACTAAACTACAACTTTTCAAAAAAAAAAGGAATATTCATTACTAAAGCATAAAATTCAGTATATGTGAACACGCTGCGCTCAAAAAAAGATAACAGAGAGTAAGAGGAGCTGTCTAGGAGTTAACTACTATTATGGTATTACAAAGTAAAGTAAACTTTTCGAAATTTTACCAGTATCTGTACCTCTCGCTATAGCTGATTATGCGGTTAATTTTAGGTGGAAACGCTCATAAATAACTGTTTCTTTGGCACTGTATGGCAATGTTTAATTTTTTGAATACCTATACTAAATTACTATTACAACGAGTAGCTAATTTATTTAATTTATTTGCAGTACGCACTGGGAGATAGCGGACGAAACACTTTAGCAGCGTTATGATTTCTAATCAATTCCCTGTTCTACTGATTAAACTCTTTTGTGCAGTTTTTTTTGTTCTTTTAACGATTCTACTTATAAACTGGACTTATAGTAGTTTAACGGGACATTTAAAACAGCTATATCCTGACAGTGGGGATGATGTAAGGATTATGAAGGAAGTTTACTCTTCACAAGCTCTAAGTAGGAAGTTCTTACTGTAATCGAAACTGCTCACTATGGGAGATCTTTACAACATTCTTGTACCAGAGGTAAGTCAGCGCTGTACTGGGATTTATTTTTATTTCTGTACTGCTTTAGAAATTTTTAGTAAGCTTGGTAGTTTTTTTGAGGTATCAGATCATTCTTACTGGTCCCAGTCCTAATGGGTGACTAAATGATATGAAAAGTTTAAAATAAGTTATGAAATAAAGCTAGAAAGGGAAACTTGAGCGAATTGAGATATGAGTAAAAAGGTATTTTTTATCTGAGCCCATTTTAGGTTGTTATAAAAATGTTCACCCAAACAATTTTACGATCGTAGGATCTCAAGGGGTGGCAAAATTTAGGCTTGTAAAAACTGGTTTCCACTGTATATTTGCGAAGTTGCCAATTATTTGACTACTTTGGTGTTTTTGTCAAATCTTTTGATGAGATGACTTGCAAGAGACTGATTTTTGAATATCTAGCAGTAAGCTTTCAGGTAAGTTTTTTGGGAGTAACACAGAAACTTATAACAGAAACGGATTACATTGAATAAATGGAAAAACAATCGCATTTTCTTCGCTGTTAGAATTCGATTTCAAAAAAATACTTGTTCACCCAGATTGTCATTGCAGCAATAGTCATCTCTTAATAGGGGATTTAACTTAAAACGAGAGCCCGTTTGGTAGTAAGTGATGTGAAAATCTGAAAAAAATCTTCAAGATATCGTTAATTTCATAATCTCAAATTTTTTTCATTCTCAGAACAGTCGGGCAAGTGTTCTTCTTTCAAATATATAAGTAAGAAAAATTCACTCTTTTCAGAATTTGAAAACCAAATAGAAAAACAATGAGAATTTTAGTGCGAGAGCTGAGAGCTTTTGTTATACAGATATTTCCATTTTCAAAATAATTCCACTGACCATTATAGTGGGGAAGCGCTTCAGTTGTTTGGGCTTCAACACCCTGCTCCTTTACGTACTACTTTTCAAAGAGATTACCCTTTTTAAAACATATTTCTCTTTTTCGCTCTCGTAGATACAACGTCTGCCTTTCTTAGAGCCTACTACCTGTTCATTACGATAGGTAGTCGTATTTTTGTAAAGTTAACGTGATATGTGAAACAGTCTATCCCTGTTTTTTTGCACCAGACCTGGGACTGTTTTGAGGGCTTTTTTACACATCCGATCTATTCAATGCAATACGATTCTTTTGCTGCAATCGTTGGTACCAACCACCATCCAAAAAGTGCAACAAAAAAAAAGTCAAGAATTGCACGCAGTTTAGAAAAGTCACAAGTAAATATAAGCAAAGAAGGTCCTGAAATTTGTCTAGGTCTCATGTTGGAATAAAAATGGGTGGTCTAAAAATTGCTTCATAAATTTGAAGAAAAAGGCTTTACTATCGTTAAAGGCAGAAGAAAGTACAAAAAGTGCGTTAAACATTATATTCACAAGGAGAAGCACAAATCTTCTTAGAAGCTAACTTTATATTAAAAAGTAATCTGTAATATAGCAAGATTTTTGAATCCAGTCGGCTCAAGCACCTCTCGTTACAGCAAACCGTGGAACTAATTTAGAAGTGGAAGCACTTGTACTTGTATGTCATAAATGTCTTCTACTCCAGGCCTACTGTCGTGCTTTGGTGAGGCTTGGGGGAGTCACAGATGGTGGCAAGTGGGTTTGTAACCCTTTTCATTTGCGAGGACGAAGAGGATGCCTTATTTTTTCTTTAGGAGTCAACAACGAAATATCTTTTGATGTTGCTTTTCAAAGAGCAACACTTCAAGCGTGTCACCCTTATGCTTTCGATAAGGTAGGTAGAAAAAAATGTTAAATAGCATCTCATCTTTGAAACACCTTCGATAGATGTTCTCATAAACGCTTCTTTCAAGATTGCCTCATACAACTAGCCGTCCAGTCAGAACTAATAAGAAGTACATGTACGCACTCCTTTTGGTGCTCATTGCAGTTGAATTTACTTTACTGAACTGATCCGTAATCCTTGTCTGGTGCTTTCTTTGAAATTGTCTGACGGGATTTAGCGAGTTTTTTGTAGCTAGTTCTTTAGTTTGGCAAATTTCGAGAAGTGAAACTTTTCCTGCTAGAGTTTTTTTTGTTGTCCCATGTTTTAAGAACTGTTTCCGTTGCAGATGTTTTTAAAGCATTTTGAAGATCCATTAACTGCAGGATGAGCAACTTGTTGGAACGATCAAAGCATTAACGAAAGCGAACGGAGTTTTTTAAAACTGCAATAGGGTCAGTTGACGATCATACCGCTAATAACTATACCATTAGTGGTTTATTAAAGACGTTTGGTGTTGTCAGTATAGAAGTTCTCAAGGTGAATATTGAAGGTTTGGTTTTTGGAGAAGTGAATTAAAGATTTCTCTTTCCTTTGAAAAGTACCTATTTTGTTTCATTTTCATTCTTTTAAAATTACAGTTAATGCTTGCCGGGACAGTCTCTTTCTGTTAACTTCAGGCTCGTTTTGCTCCAACATCTTCGCTTCAGCCTCTAACCTTGATTAATTAAACGCGAAAAATTCACGGTCATAATAGGCGTAGTAGTGATGGACATAAAAGGAAGAAGTTCATATTTAAGACATTCAATATAAAAAAGGAGGATAAAGCTAGCTTGTTAAAGATAGTAAATAAACTGTTTGCAAACCGCTAAAGTTTCGACTACTCATGCAAATGGTGTCGCGAAAGACATTAAAAGCTGCCTTGACTGATAAGACCAGTTACAGCACAACGGAGCGAGGTTATCTTGGAATTGTATTAAGAGGATGAAACTTATCTAAAGTGCTCGTTATGCTTTTTAGTCCTAACAAAGAACCAAGGTTTTTGTCTTGTCAAGTTTGTACAAATTATAAAAAAAAGTTTTAGGTTGGCTGCGGGTTTCTTGAGAGCTTGCTGCGAAATTCAGTCTCCTGCTTTCTCCCTTACAATGTATGGGTTCCATACACTTTGTTTCTTCTTGCACTCTTCCTGCTCCAGATTAATCTTGTTTTTAACTTTTATTTCTTCTTTGTTACTGACTCATTATCGAAAAGTAACTGGCCAGCATTGCCGCTATAAGTTATCCATTATTTTAGGCAACAAATTTGATGTGATTCCCGCAGCAGTTGAAAACACTAAAATTTGTCAGATTCTCGTCGAAGTGCATGGCAGTGCCACTGATAATGTGCGTCTTCTTCAGATAGCATCTTTATCATCTGCTTTCTAATGCTTAAAAAACAAAAAAAAATTATTTGCTGTCTTACAGGCTAGACTGAAGTAATACTTAAAAAAATCTTTGTCTTCTGTACTAAGGTTGGAAAAAGAAATACAGGAAATGTCTCGTAATGGTTACTACCTTCTTTCGTATGAAATTAACGGGTATTCTCTCAACCTTTGCGAGTATAGCCTTATTCATGAATCTTGTCTTGACGCGTATGGGGCCGAAGTTTTAGCGAAATACTTTTCATAACTAGAAGGAACGTGAATGGCAGCCCTAAACGTTGCAGTATTGTGTGTGAAGGTATTTTTCTCCTCTTCATTAAAAGTTTTTGATTTCATTTAGAAAAGTGACACGGTCTAATATCTACTTAGAAATGACAACGTTACTGCAGTTTTGCGAGACTGTGCTTTGTAGTTGATTTTCAGCAATATTTACTTTAATTTCTTAATACATTTCAGGGCTTTCCTCCCTTCTAAGTTCATTTACCCTGGACGAAATATTAATTAACCAGATTGACAAAAGGAAATGTTCAGTTTTTAAAAGTTTGAAGTGGGTTCTTTTGCTTTTGCTTGTATAAAAATCAGTAGTGAACAAATCTAAACAATTCTTACATTTTTCAACAACCAATAATTACGAACTCATTTTTTTGGAAGGGGCGCCGTTAACCAACAGATTACTTCATCGTAACTGTTCAGCAAAAAATTGCTCATAGTTTGCTGAAACCTTATGCATCCTTCGGCTATTTCTCCTCTGCCCACCATATAAGTGGTCGTTTATTTAAAAGTATAGGATTTGTACTTCACGGTTTAGAAAGTCGTTTTCCTGATGACCACGTAAATTTCAAAATTTTAATACTTTTTTAGTCTACCAACTTACTTATTCAAGGTTTAGGAAATCAACATGTGTGCAAAATTTAGTGCACAAAAGTTCCTGCTGGCCAAAAACTTTCGCTTTCGATGGGAGACAAAATAACTTTTGGCTCAAAAACAATGACGTAATAAAGTAACTGAACGACGAAAGCAATATTGAACGTATTTAACTAAGAGACGTTAAAAACTACTGAGCTTCATCGTCCCATTTATACGCCAGTACACAACCTCTCCTTGTGATCGTATATGACGTCCTTTAAAATGCTTGTACCCAGACGAAGTACAGCAACCAACTATCTTCTTTGGCAAATTTGCCATTCCGTGTTTGATCGGACAGCTACCATAAATTCAGATCTGTGACACTGCAGTGAATCACAAATCCAGCAGATGGGCACCAGCATTTAAGACGAATCATTTCACAGTCCTTGCAGATCCTGATTTCAGAATCCTAAATAAAAACCGCTGGACCTTATAACGACAGTCAAGTAGCGAAATAACAACAAAGAGAAGACAATTAGAAACCTGTTAACAAGTTAAATCTGTAAGCTTGTTTTGAACAAAATAGAGAACCTCCAACATGTATAAAGTACAAAAGGCGGCAGTTTAAAATAAAAAAATTTTGGACGATGGAGTTGATAACTAGCTTTTACAAGCGAGCGAAGATGCAGCATCTTTAGTATGTAACCAAAACAGGAAAAAACTTCGTCATTGAACTTTTAAAATGAACGTCAGTTTTTTTACCTTTATAGGCTATGACTCCTTACCTCTTGCGCATTTCGAAAATTAAAATTTGATTTTGATTTTTAACGCTAAAAAAGTGAAAATTCCACATTTTATGTTGCTCTCATACGCTACAGGCTTTTTCTTTTGCTAACTGTCCTTTACAATGGCTTCTCAAAATTTTATTTTTTTTTTTCAAATTGATGGTTCAGTTTCAGCAGTACCGCTTCCACCTGTGTTATTCCATCGTCTCTATAATCTCTAGCTAATTTTTCAATAAAATATATTCTTTCCTTTCCAATATCTAAGCCGTAAGTCAAATGTCCAATCACACACATTCCAGTAAAATAGTCTCAACCTATAACAACTGTCTGTAGGAATCTATCTGAAGAGTCGTTTAACTACACTTTCTTATTACCTGTCTCTAGCAATGCGTACAGTAGTGATATAAACGCAATTAACAGGTCAGTAACAACTGCTGTTATTGCTTAGTCAATATTGGCAAAGAATTAGTAATTATTAACTAATAATCAATCTATTCATCCACCTGATAACAAAGAGAAGTAGCAGAAATAATATTTTAAAGGACAAAAAAATGCCTGCAAAAAACGACGAAACATCCTACACAAAGTACTCAGTGACATTAAAACTGGCATTCACCGAGGCCTCTCATGCGACAACGCTCTTACAGAAATAAAAGCGTATCACGATAACTGAGTTAATCGAAAGTGCTTCAAACCACAGAAGTCATCAGTTGCAACGATTTTCATCTTCCTCTAAGCCAATAAAATACAAACTTTTCAGCTTCTAGTAACCAGATATTCAACAGTGTTGCCGTGTGAAGCATCTACCAAGCAATTGTGATACGTTTACCTGAGGGAAAGCAGTGATGTACTTAGAACTATAATCCATTAGCGAATGTCAAGGTGTCAAAAAGATTTAAAAAGGCTCATTGCAGAGTGCAAAATGAATAGTATTCTGCAAGACCGACTAATGCTTTTCATCTGATCTGACGTGTTATAGCTGAAAGAACTAAAATGTTATAACTCGCAACCTCTTCGCCTAAAACTCCAAGTGTTGCCATTCGGTGACTCCTAGTTGCACTCAACCTCCCATAAATGAAAAGATACATTTTATCAGTAAAGTTGATTAATGCCAAAATCGTACTCACAGAACGG